GAGGGCCGCTTCGTGGCGGTACCTCGGAATCTTCCGTCTCGGCCGTTGGTTTGGTCGGCTGGATGCCTGCCTCCGACTTGTTGTCGGTTGGTTGCTGTTCCAGGCTAGTCGGTTGCTTATTGCCGACTTCCTTTTGTGGAACCTCTGTGGTCGGCTTCTGTTGACCGACCTCCGTGGTCGGCGAAATCCTTCCGACCTGTGTGGTCGGTTGGGCTTGGCCGGCTTTTGTTGTCAGCTGTCCGGTCGAGGTCGGCTGTTGTTGTCCGACCTCCTTCATTAGGGGTAGGTCGACCTTCTGTTGGTCGACTTCCTTTACCGACGGTTGGTTGACCATTTGTTGGTCGATTTCCCTAGTCGATTGTTGTTCACCGACTTCCTTGGTCGGCGATGTTCGTCCAGGCTCGGTGGGCTTTGTAGCCGTTACCGAGTCTTGAGCTCTGTGTGAGGTCGATTCCTGGTCGGCTTGCGACAATGTGGTCTCAGCCTGCAGCTGTACCACATTCCCCCCGGCCGGGTAGGAAGGGGCTGCCGTGTCAGCTTGGGTGTCCAGGAATGTTTTATCCCTGGCGTCCTCGAAACTATCATCCGAGGTCGGATTCGAGTCAGCAAGGAGAATCCGTTTGTTGCGCCTTTCCCTTGCTTCAGCCGACTTAGTCGAGTCGGTTGAAGACGGCTGACTTCTTTCTTGACCGGCGTACTGGAGTGAGTACGTCCCAGTCGTATTCGCGCGCCGAGAGTAATCCTTGTTGTACTTCTTGGCGTATTCCTTCTCCCTGGGACATTGTGGTCGGACCAGGTCGGCTTTGATGGAGCCTTAAAGGTTTTATCAGTTAGAAAAAGAAAGTCGGACAATCTTCTGCGTGAAAATGTTCGATGAATTCAGGAACGTCTTTTGGTTCAGGAACCCCCGAGTGTCAGGATCTTCCGGTGAGATGTTGTTGTTATTGTTGATGTGTCTGTTGGTGACTCAGTACACAGGGTTAATATACAGTACTATGGTACAGTACAGTACGTAATACAAGCCCGGCTCGAAATTTTTAGACCGCTGTAAGCGCGACGCAGTAAATAGCGCACAGTAAGGCTAGATTTTATCTGCTCTTCACTGAATGCACTAGCGTAAAGCACCTTGTATGGCTCAAGCCCGCGTTTCTCAAATATCCCGCTTACAGCGGTCTAAAAATTTCGAGCCGGGCTTGTAGTAGTACGGCATGGTGCGTCCTATACTAGTGTGCTGACCAGTATGACGTCACACAGGGTAAGTGGTCTTGCGCTTTTGTGCCTACGTCACAGAATGCGAGCCGCGTGCAAAAGTTACCAAAAAACTATGAATCACGCCTATGTTAAGCTATGGGAACTTTTCCCTGCACGCTGATTGGCTGCCTTTAAAGTACTGAAAAGCGGTCGTTCTGACGTCACAAGGAAGTTCAAGAATTTTGGCGCTAATTTCCGCAAGAAAAACAAATTATTTTTAGTCGGCTAGAAAGTTTATCTAGTCGGATTCTTAATTTTCTATCCGTTAGAAACATGTTCTAAGATTTTTAGGATCTTTCTGGTGGTCGAAACACCGTTCGAAGTTAAAAAGAAGAAAATTTCCGACCTGTTGCCGGTTAGCTTTTGTCTAACTGCCCAGACAGGTTCGTTAACCTAGCAGGTCGGTTTCTCGGCCAAAAGCAAAATTCCGAGTTGGTTTCTCAGTCAGAAATTACTTTTTCACCGTTAGCAAGTAAAAATTTACGGACAGAATTAGTTTTCTACCGCTAGAAAATGAAAAGCCGACCTAGTTTCGGCTAAAATCGACCTACAACCGTGACTTTATCAGTTTCGGTGTCGGTGTCGGTTCTGCTCGATTTCCTCCGTCCGAGGTCGGAAATCCGTCGTTTCCGAGCTGAAATCCGCGGTTAAAGTTGCGGGTCGGTGTTCAAACCGATGGTCCCCGTATTATGGAGTTATCCTGTCGCGCTGCAGACTCTCGTTCGAGTCTGATCCGTCGGTTGGGAGAAAAAAAGTCCGTGCGTTTGGGATACGTGCTCTTCAATGTGGAAGAGACAAAGAACTAAGCTCACCAGCTCTGGAATCACTTCAGTGATTCTTGTTTTTCCGCAGCTGTAAGACGGCAAGATCGGTCTGATCAGAGTCAAAGCAGAGGCTGCTTCAGCAGTCTATCTGGCACTGACTAAAAGGTTTCTGACTGGTTCTCCGTGAATGAAGCATTCACCGTCCTCTCAAAGATTCTGTGGGATCGAAAAACCAGACGATCTGCTTACCATGTAACAGACTCTGGCGAGGAGATCACGAGTGTGCTTTATTGTACAAATAAAGGGGAACAATGCTGCGTAATAGCAGAAAGCAAGAACATAGCACGGATGGCTAAAGTAGCAAGTGGTTGCTAAAAGGGTTCTTGAGCGTCTAATGGCGTGAAAGGAATGCTGGCGGCAACCACGTGCGTGCTGCGGGCCAGTCGTATCAGCTCTGTGATGCGCAGACTGGACTCAATCTAACGCGAGCGTATGAACGCTGAGTGGTACTGCAAGAGAGGGACGAGAGAGCAAGTACAGCTCAGTGTGTGCGCTGCGTATATCCGCTTCAGCGGATGAGTCAGTGTAGCAGCAGCACATGTACGTACAGCGAGAGAGGCGATAACGGCATGCAATGGGTGCAAGTACGTCCTGTGTGGACCGTACGCACCAGGCGCAGCTGTACGCCTCTGACATTGCAGTTCAAAAAGAGAGCAACTAATAAAATTAATATACTATTGTGCATTATTATATTACTTGAGCGGGAATGCCAGGAAAGTTCACGATTACAGCACGACTGGAATCCCATTATCATGGTCTGAGTATAAGGGTCCGTATTCCTGTTCGAAATCACTAAAATCCCAGCGTGACTGGGTTGCTACGCGGTGTATTGGGACGATTACACAAGTGAATACACACTCTGCAATACGTAAACTCTACGCAACGTAGAGAGCACGCAAGTCTCCGTATCACGTAAGACATGTTTATTAGAAGTTTTTGCGCAAATTCGCATTGCACAGAGTCAGACTCAGAGATAACATCGATTATTCCCCAGCATGAATTTTTAGCTTACGTTTTTTAGACTCAGAACTTTTCGCCCATTGCTTACCAACCTTGTCGTTTAACAATTTTGCATAAAAGTGAATTCTTATTTGAAAGTAATAAGATGCACTTTTTCGAAAAACCTCAGCCCACGAGCACTCAGCAAGACAAGGCGAACGCATACTATTTTTCTTGGCAATAAAATCGGGCATCGCAAATTTTTCCGCGGTTTTCAGTAGGGACTGGCGAGGAGAAAGGTACAATACTTCCTCAATACGTTCACGGTCCACGATAATATAGCGTGGTTTGCCGTTAACCGTAACTGTGGGAGTGTCGTATTTATTCACATTAAATCCGAATTTCTTGACTGCCTGTATGTTGTTGGTTGTTGGTTCCCCGCTGTTGCCATCAGGAGTTGTGCCCTTGATAGGGAAAAAGACTGAGAAACTGGAGGTTATGTGCACACGACTACTCCTCATACTCAATCATCAGGCGTTATTCCTGCTCAAGAACTGTTTGGGCGTGCCAAAAGTCGTGCATATTCTGCGCACTTCACTTGCATGGATGTTCCCAGAAGAGCTGTACAGGTTGGACCAGCTGTTTCGCGACGCACTGGAACGCATCACCAATGTACAGATGGATTATTCGACGTGGCTTCAAGCATCCCTACCCGTCCGCCTAGGTGGTTTGGGTATCAGACGTACCGAAGAGCTAGCTTCCTCAGCCTACTTGGCTTCGGCTTCTTCGTTGCGCCCACTGATCTCGAAACTGTGCCCAGTGATAGCGGCTACGAATGTGACCTGCGATATTTACACCTGGAAACTGCAAACGGGGACGGATGAACTTCCGGCAGAAAGCCTTCGTCACGTGCAGAAAGCATGGGGTACGCCCGCAACACTCGCTGCCTACTCCGAATTAACCAAAATGCGTGGATCACAGGACCAGATCGCTCATCTCAAAGCTGTATCGGTACCTGAATCCGGTGTTTGGATTCACGCACTTCCCGCTGCCTGTCTCGGAAACCTACTGGACGACACGGCTTTCAGAATAAGTGTCGCTTTACGGTTAGGAGCGCCTATAGTAACTCCTCACGCCTGTGTTTGCGGCATGCAAGTCGATGAGTTGGGCGAGCATGGACTTCGCTGCAAGCGTTCAGCAGAAAGACTGCCGAGGCACGACGGTATTAGCGGTGAGATCGCCCGGGGCCTTAAGACAGCGGGCTTTCCAGCCAGAATGGAGCCCAAAGGCCTGTCGGTTAAAGATAACTAAAGGCCGGACGTCATCACTCTTGTACCTTGGGCACGAGGTAAACCACTGGCTGTAGATGTTACCCGCGTTGACACACTCGCGGCTTTTTACATTGATCGCACCTCCGTGAACGCTGGAGCGGCTGCGGAGGTAGCCGAAAGGGGAAAGTTATCGAAGCACAGCTGGCTGATGCCACGATACGATTTCGTTGCGGCGGCGTTCGAGATTCACGGACCGTGGAGCGGTGGCACTAAGAAACTTGTGGACAAGGTTGGAAGCTGCCTAATTTCTGCCACTGGCCAGAAACGCGCCAAAGAGTTTTTTCGGCAGCGCTTGTCTATATAGATACAGCGTGGGAATGCGATATGCGTAATGGGCACGATTCCTGAGCAAGACAGTATAGAAGAATTTTTCGTGTTGTGATTGGGGTGTATCTGTTGCGGATGATTATTTCATTGTTTTCATTGTTTGTCATGTACCTCGTATATTGAAATAGACTGAATATCTTTATGTTCTTGGTTTTACTGCTGCGCAAGTTACAGTGGTGAAGTAATCAGAGTAGCATGCCAGTTATTAAAGTGTTGGTTCTGGCTGAATACAGTACTCTTTACTATTATTACGTAATGTAATACTTCGTAGATACAGAGTACTGAATTAGATATAGGTGCATTGCAGCATTACAAAAGAGTCCGCAAAGTTCATGGCATGCCGTTCGCGCTGCGGTTCTGGTTTGTCCTGCGACTGTCTGTAGTCTGTACTACCCAGGCATGTACAGTGCACACCACATCGGCGTCCTGTGCCACTTCCCGTAGTTCGCAACTTCGCAGAGGATGCTTGCTTGGAAAATTTGCTTAAGATAATCCATTGTTTTCGAATTTTTTGAAACCATAATTCAAAATTAGATTGTTCATTGTAGTATTTTGCGATTGTATTATTTTGCGTGGAACGGCATCTGATCCGATAGTTACGTTATTTTCGGTGCGTTTAATTGCTACCTTGTGCAGGTTCGCCCTGTTTTGACTCCTACGATGGCTCCGAGAGCGCCTGGAATACCCCTTAATGCCATTTACGGAATTGTCACGGCGGCCCTTGGTGCTACTTTCTACCTGATGTGGCGCCAGGAGATGGGAACAGTTCAGAAGCATGTCGAGTGAGTTGTAATTGCGGAGATTAGGTCGAAGCGTATATTTTGTGCTGGAATGCTAATATTGCTTTGGTAAATGTGGTGCTTACATATACTTTCCTGTTATAAACCAGTTGTGTACTGTTATGTATTGAGGTCTGTGCCGTTTGCGCATAGTTTTCTTCGGAGACTCCTCTTGGTTTCGCCTTTCTTGATTTAATTTGATGGTATGCAAAGCTGTAAATAGTAGAATAAGGAAGATTCTTTTTTATTTAGTTTTATGAGGTCCAAAAATCAGCTTGGCGAGCAGGGCTTACTAACAACCGAGAATACCCACGTGGAGACCAGCAAAGACGGAAGACATATCGTGAAACCTGGCCGCGATGTGAATGCACTGTAATTCTGGGCTCCTCATGATTTTCGGAATGGAGACCATCAGCTGATAGGACTGCATGCAGTCCTGCAATTGGGTGTGTGTTACGTAAAAAAAGTTTCGCTATATTTCGGATACGTTCTATCCCGTGCTTTGCATTTTAGTTGACGACTGCTGTTAGTGTTGTTTTGAGTCGGGTTCGTGTATTTGCACGTTCAGTAAGTAATAAATTATCCAGAAATGCTCCTGGCTTCCCTGTTTTTGCAGTTTAATTTGACTTGTATACAGTCCGAAAATGGACCGTAGCGGTTCAGTGTCATTTTGACATTTAAAAAGGTTTTTCTTCACGATTTTTTCGTATCACAACAGAAAAAGAACTGAATATCAAAACTCCCATCACTATTCAAAATGGAGATGAACTTTTTACAAGTAAAAAATGATGACAGTGCATTCTATCCCAGCAGTTAATTTTATCTCTTTAACTTCTTGAACAGTACGTGTTGCTTGCCATCTCCTTTAGAAGCAGCAGCACGGCCTCGTCCCTTCATTTCTTTGTAGACCTGCAACAAAAAAGGTTTTTTTAATTTTGCAATCGTTGCACTTGCACGCACTATGCATTATTAATACAATTTAACAATAAACCCGGATAATCGTAAGATTATCTTATAAGGATTAGCACGATTTTACCAAAGCTGCATTTTCAGTCTCAGAAAAATTTCTATCTTCCTTTACATATTTGTAATAAGAACGGGCCATAAAAATACTGATACAAATAACATAAAGAAAACACCACTGTATATCGTACCGCATCATCCGCTCCGCTGAGCGATGCCATATTGCCGACTTTCCGCGACATCTGCACTTTGGCACCGTCTTTGGAATCTCCGGCGATGCGCTCCACATCGGCATCGGCGTCCGACGCCTGCATCACCGCCCGCAGCAGCTCCAGCTGGTCTTCTTTCGTACTCAGCTTCAGCGTTTCATCCTCCATCCCGGCGAGGCGCGTGATGACTTTGTAGGAATAGCCCTGATTTACGAGGAAACGCTGTCGTCGACGAGCGAAAAACATCTCGGTCGTATCTTGAGACACCAGCGAATAAAAGAACGCATTGTATTCCTCGGCAATCATTCCTGCAAAAATATTCACATTTCCCTTATATCCATATTTTCGTTAACAACATTCAGCAATTCCAACTGTTTTAATTAGCCGGAACCAAACAATCCATTCAGAGGGCGGTTTATTAAATTTAGGAGCGTTAGTGATTATTACCGAGTGTTAATTCTCTACCTAATTTTCAGTTCAACGGCTTTCAGTTGTTAACAGGTTTACGCGTTTTATGGAGCGTAAGTACCTTTTTTCGGTCGCAGAATTCGCCCCAGACGCTGGGCTTCCTGTCGGCGAGAGCCACCTTGAGATGAGATCTGGATGAGAACATTGGCTTCCGGCAAATCAAAGCTGGTATCCGCAACTTTGGACACGAAAATTGTGTTCAACCGAGGATTGTGTTGAAAGTTCTGTAGAATCTGTAAGCGTTCGTTTTGGGATGTCGGTCCAAAGATATACGGCTTGTTCATCTGCTTCGCGGTTTTGATCAAAGCAAATACATTGTCACAGAAGACAATAATCTGTAATTCACAACCAAAGGTTAAAACGAATCATGCAATGACATAAAATCTCATTACTGTGAGAATGTAAGTCGATTATACACAAATTCAAAGTCGTATAAAAATTGCTTAACACAAATACATCCATATACTGTATATACACTATACAGTATAATAATCTTAACAAAAGCAACTTACCAACTGCTTAAGCGATCAGATCAGGTATAGCTATTACCTTATCATTTCTCCGCTCGTGGAATTTGACCAAAAACTCCAGGGCTCGAATTTTATTGGGATTCATGACGTACAACAGCAACTGCTTGCGCGATTTGATTTCCAAATATTCCCGGTAGAATTCCGCACTCATGGGACACCAGACTTCCGCACACTGTACACGTGCCAGATAACCCTTATTCTGCAGTTCCATCCAGTTGGCCTCGTACAATTTCGGCCCAATGAGAAAATTCAAATCCTGAATCTTATCGTCCTCCCGTACTAATGTCGCCGTTAAACCCAGCTTGCAGTGAGCATTTACAATGGTCAAGACTTTTCGGAACATCTTGGCCGGGATCGTGTGCACCTCATCCAACACCATCAAGCCCCATTCTTGCCCTTTCAACCATTCCATAATGCGCTCCGCTTCCCAGGACCGCTTCTGGGTGTGTGCAATCATGTTATATCTAAAAAAACCAACGTGTTATGTAAAATGGCAAAATCAACGGTAAATGTAATTATACAAAAGTGCTATCGAGCAGTACCAACATAACTTAAAAAACTCATTCGGGCACGCATTCAGAACTGCGATATGCTTATACAGGAGCACATACGGTAGCGACAAAATATACTGTGATCAAATGCAGTATGTGACGCTAACATCGTTTGAGGAATATAGATATATTATATTTTGATACACCTCCAATTTCAATCATCAACAGGCAACAGCGAATATCTATACTATATAAATTCTACATGTACATGTAAAAATAGAAAGGTACACTATTTACGTAAATAAATAATTATCACAACAATCTGAACAAAACTGTAATAAAATCTAACTGAATAAAAAATCACCTGTCGATGAATTAAGTTTGCTTACGTTGTGATACACACTCCTGCATTAGCACCCGGCTTATCCTTGGAATCCGCAGTAAACCGACAAACCATCCCATCGTCCGCCGTGGACCACATCTTGAACTGGGAGCGCCACTGCTCCACGGATACACCGGAATTGCACAGCACAATGCAACGTTTCCGGACGGTACAGCATGCTGTCACACCCACCAGCGTTTTTCCCGCACCACACGGCAGCACAATGATACCAGAGCGAGCACGCCCGTTCCCGAACATCTTCCGGAGGCTCTTCTCCTGGTAGGGGCGGTGCGTTGTATTGGGTTTCAGATCTAGATTGATATCGGGATTGTGTTGATCATGCCGGAAGTCGTATTCGGCCAACAGCGGGAATTCCAGCTCGATACAGCGCTTCTGTAGGATTTCGATCATGTCTTGTTTGACTTCGAAAGTGACGGTCTGAAAATAAAAAATAAGTATTTAATAATTTCATACACATTTTTTAAGAAACTGAGCTCCTATGTTCGACAACTATGAAAAATAATTGGCTCGATAGCGCAAATTAAATTACAAGGTACTAACAACATGTACAGGTATCATTGTACCAATCTTTAAAAAATGATCCCATCACCGGCAATCGAAATATAACTGCGATCAACACTTTTAAAAGTAAAATGCATCGCTTCAGAATTTATCGCGGTGTTATTGTATGGTACAACATTTTTCCGCCTAAGAAATCAATAATAATTTAGTATAGAAGTATGCAAGATTCTAAAACCATAGCATTATCGTTCAGTACGAGTACAAATAAGCATAAAATTTTATTTAGTGTTCAAAGAGAGAGAGATTCACCATCACCAAATAATCCAACATCATTAGAGTAAAAGTCCAGTATCCACTGCACAGTGCACTTACTTGCTTCTGGTCAGGGTTATCTTCATCATCATCGCGATCAATTTTATCATAAAAATCAAAAATATCCTGCGGAATCCGCTGCTTATCCACCGCCGTTTCCCCATCCCCATCCGCTCCTTCCACAGCCGGCTTCTGTCCAGCAAACGTGGCTCCTTTCTCCCCAATGTCCGTCGTCGTCATGGGCGCCTGCTCCTCAAAGCGCAACCGGCACTGACTGACCACGTCATCCTTCAGCAGCGTCTGCATCACATCCGGATGCGTGGTCTCCACAAAATAACGATTCTGCTTCAGTACCAACTTCAACTTCCCGTAGCTGACGGTACATAACCGGATGAATTCCTCGATACCTCGGGGCAAATTGGTCTTGCTCAGGCGTTTCAGATATTCGATAATGTCCGCGGTCTGCAGGCCGACGGAAACAGCGGCGTACAGGGAATAGGCGGTCAGTTTGTATTCGTGGATGCGCTCCGGCCGACACACCGGTTCGGAGATGGCTACGAGGAAGTCCTGCGCGTGCTTGTACACGGGTGAGAAGGCTTCCAGGAAAATGTGGCCATCGGGAGCGACCCACAAGGGACGCGAGGCATGGTCGGGTTTTAGGGCCATTTGACTTCTGCAGAGCACCGTAATCATATTCGCACAAGTACCAAAATATCTCAATCGAAACAGTAAGTAAATCCACGTTGTTACAAGACTTATTACACTTCATGCCTTACTGCAGTAGTGCAATACTTACTGGAGAAAATTCGAGTGTACAACCGTATGTACATAAGTGGTACCAAACAGTAAAGTCAAAAACCTTATTTTAACTGTTCCACAAATAAAAAAAATTAAATTCCCAAAACAACAAAACTTTCCTATTTTACCAACTTGTTTTCATCCGTTTTTCACACGTTGTGCAAATAATAATCATAATAATATAGAAACAATTCTAAATTAAATAACTACTGGTACACTACGTAAATCTACTCCCTAGTTGTGTCTTCTGTGCACTCGCAAAAAATTTCAGGCGACGTTTGTTCACACTTTCCCAAAATTTTATTGCTTATTAATAGTTGCATTATTGCGGTTAGAATGATTTAATATTGCAGAACGATCAGTACTGTGCATACACATTCCCAGTTTTACCTGTAGTCCTTGGCCCCGAACTCATCATTGGGAACATCACGGACCGCCGCTTCTGCGTTAGCGCTGGCGATACTGAGAACACCATCGGTTTCCCCGTCTGTGGCTCGTCTGGCAGTTCCAGAATGCGACCCCGATGGAATCTCGTCATCGTCGATATAATCGTCATCGTCCGCTTCATCACTGGACACATCGTAGATGCGTCATGGACAGATCGCGCAGCTGGTAATCCGGGTCGTTATCCTCGTTCTTGCGCTTTCCATCGGGTTTAGTGTAGACGCGCGCACAGCACTGGATGAAGCCTCACCATTTCCAGCAGCCTTCTTGCTGGGTTTTGGCATCGTTTCGTTTGACAGATTCTGGTGAAGCCCTAAGGGATCAACGATGCACGGTTTCACCAAAGCGAGCTCAGTTCGTAAGTCCAGCCATAGGAGTCTTGGACTGATAAGATCAAAGAACCATGCTTGGCCGGATTGATTAGAGTTAAAAAAACACTGTAGTCTGTAGCTGACAATAAAATACAAACGAGACCAAGGAAAATGGTAAAAAGTGAACAAATGACGAAAATAAAAAGTGAGAAAATCCAAGTCGCACTGATTCCCACAGGTTTTGATTTGTGAATTTAAGCGATTTCAAGATTTTCAACCTGACTGGATGATGTCATTCGAGAACAATCTACAAGCTGTCGCCATAGGGTGGTTCAAATTGAGACAACGAAAGTAATACAGTACTTCCGGTCGATCGCAAAGTAGCGGTTTCAGATTTTTCATTTCTGTTCCGTGTTTCATTTATTTTGATTTGATGTTTGAAAGTTTTTAAAAGTGCATTCAGAAACAAGAAGTTTGTATTAGCGGTTTAATATTCCGGTGTTTTAGTACTCTAAAATTCTGCGTTGGTTAAATATTTGAGCTCTGAGATACAAGTATAGTAACATTTAAAGTGGAATCCATCTGAGTGGCAGCTTGCGTTGCTGCAGCTGGTTGTCTGTAAAAGCTAAACGTGAAAACTGAAAGGTTCGTCCTGTCGCTAAAATGCATGGCCGTTTGAAAATCCGTACTCCTGAAGAACAGCAAGAAGCCATCCGAAAAGAGAAGGAGAAGAAGTTGGCTGTTTTCAAAGCATCGTTCTCCAGCATTGTGACGAAGCGCGCAGAAGGTGATTCAACGATCGAAACCCTCCGCGACACGGAGATTCTTCTGACGCGCGTCCCAGATATCTATACCTTATGGAATTACCGCCGCGAAATCCTGCAGAAGCACTTTGAAAAAAGGCAAGTTTAACAGAAAAAGTGGAGCTATAAAAATTGAAAAAGAATGTTAAAGTAGTGAGCTCATACTATAACTAGTGACACTGATAATCACAGACTGATTCTGGCAAATGTTTTGACCAATGAGTCCTGGCGTTTACGGTTTATGTACTTATTTTATTTTGCAGTAATGAGTAATACTTTGATTTTTGTGGCCAAAATCAGTAAAAATAATTCGGTAAATTTTTTTTGTTTTTATCACATTTATGCTAGACAATTTTAAAGACAGGAATGGGAAGAGTTAAATTTTATTAATTTAAATGCGTATTTCAATTTGCAGTGAATCGGACGCGGAGATTGACGGCATCTGCGAGTACGATCTATCCTTCACGGAGAGCTGCCTGCGTCAGGATCCGAAGTCCTACAGCACCTGGCACCACCGCCGCTGGATCCTGCAGCACAAAAAGCACCCCCGCTGGCCCAGCGAACTGACCCTATGCAACCACGCCCTGCAGCTGGACGAGCGCAACTTCCACGTGTGGAACCATCGCCGCTTCGTCGTGCAGCACGGCAACATCCCGCTGGAGGAGGAGCTGGCTTATTCCACCGAGCTGATCAAGCGCAACTTCTCCAATTACTCCGCCTGGCACTACCGCACCGTCCTCCTCCCGCAGCTGCATCCCGAGCGCCTGGAAGCGCAATCCGCGAAGATTACAACTGGTGCGCAACGCTATCTTCACCGATCCCCAGGATCAGGCGGCGTGGTTTTACTGTGGATTTCTTCTGGAGGCCATGCGTCGCGGCGGGTACGAGGAGATGATTGAGAAACTGCTGGGGATTATGCGGGAGCTGCGGGAGGATGAGGATGAGCCGGATAGTGAGTGGGTGCTGCATGGCAGTGTGCGGCTGCTGCTGGATAGTGGCCGGGTGTTGAGCACGGAGGACCGGGAGTTTATTGGCACAGCGCTGGAGAAACTGGTCAGTTTGGATCCGTTGAGGAAGGGGTATTATGCGGCGCTGGAGGAGCGGCTGAAGTCAGCGTGAGCGTGCATTGGTGTTGATATTTTTCAAGGCTTTTTGTACGTAGTAATGACAAATGCTTAAAATTATTGCGGTTTTTTATGGATGATGAATGATATACGTAATTTATCCAGTCGCATTTCCTCGTTAATTGTTCACTTCAAGTTCACATGGTCATTCTTGTGCCCTTATTTAAACTGTTGATTGTTAAGATTTGGAATGTTGGTATTTTAATGAAACGTTATTCATACAAATTACTCTGAAAAGATCGTTTGTTTCTTTGACGCTGCTACTGCTGGAAAATTATCGAAAGCAGTCGTCGTAATTGCGCTTTACAGCGATATATTTCTTATTTGTAGACCTGTCGTAGTAGCACATACAGTCCTTGAAAATTATTCCGGTTCTGTATGGACGGTGAATATTACTGTAATCAACTGATCTATCCACTATCCAGTCCTGTTTTCTGTCTAAATGGTGTGCTACGAATAGTCACTATTGTATCCAACTGTTGTTTTTTGTAAGCAGTTGTTGAGATTTTGATTAAGTTCTAATGTTCTATGATTGTAATTTAGCACGAGATATGAAGATCGTTTCTGTTTTACTTTTGTTGCCAACTTGCCATTACATCAGCCATTAATTTTAAATTCAAAAAATGCGAATACATTAGCATAAGTGATAAGAGCAAGCAATAAAATATCGACTGCAAAAACCAAACTGAACTGGCAAAAAAACTAAACCGTAACGGCAAACGTGCAAGCATGAAAACAGAATAGATGTTAAACTCACAACCACAGAAAAACTCAAATCCATGAATGAAACAAAATAACGATGAACACGGCAGAACGTCGTAAACACACAAGACAAACGATGCACGCGAGTCGCGACTATCACCAGAATATCCCGTAGTGCGCCCCAGCACGGTGATCGCTGCTTAATCCTGGAAATCCGTTCACTCACCAGTCAGACACTGTCATCATGATACCTCCAGCGCGTATTCTTGGGATTAAGGCTGGCGGTGCGCACATAGAACTGATCATCCGGGGGACGCTTCTTCTCCTTACACGACGACAGCATACTGACAATGGACAGACACACTGACTGGATGGTCAGCGCGGGACTCCATTCGTCGCCCAGGATGGACAGACAGATGTGCCCATTACTGTACACATGCGGATGCAGGGGAATGTTGCTGCCTTGGAAGACGACTTCGGGCGATTCGAAGGGATAGCGTTCGTTGATGCGGAAACGCAGCTCGAATTCCTCCCCGTGGTAGATGGTGCCCTCGGCGCCCTTGATGCCCATGACGATCTCCACGCAGGAATGGTCTTTGGATTCCTCCGGACCGGATTTGACCGTCACCCCGTGGATGGGCTCCTGGCTGAGGGCGATCATCTCCTTCTGGATGCGCCGTGCACTGCTGATGGCCATGGGAGCACTCATCGTCACAGCTCGCTCAGATAGAGCCACGCAGATCCAGCCAAAAAATTATACACCAGGAATATCCGGGAAATGAGGATGTCTGGTCGAATGATCACGTTATGTTGGCCGCTGGAAGCTTCTCCACAATTCGACTCAGTGTGGTGATGTCGCATGTTCAGCCATGGATAGGGTAATTATTAAGTCCCAAGATCTCCAAGAAGAACGACAATGTTATGGGAAAACTTGGACTGATGCATTCAACAATAATGACAAATTAAGAGCGTGTGATTATGGTTGATTATGAATCATGGTTATCGTCAAAATGAAAACGCAAAAAGTCAAAACAGATGGGCTGAGAACTTTTGAAAATCGCATTCTGCGTCACTGGCTGATTACAGTGCAGACGTGTGGACTGTGAACTCGACGATGGAATGTGTGCTGTCGTACACCCAACTTCGCCCTAAGGGCGGTATCATGCAGAGTGCAGGTATCGTACAACCGGAAGTGTTTGTATTGTAATTAATGTGAGCCAGTTTATTATCAGTTTAATAACATTGTTTTAGTTTATAAAATTGTTGACTGTAACTTCGTTTTAAATTTTAGGATCTGGTGCTATGGATCTGGTTTTCGTTCACACGCATCAACATAAATTGATAATCATAATTCATAGGTGCCTCTTGCAGGCTACAAAGTTCCAAAAGGCGAAAGCAAAGTTCCAAAGGTGCTCGGTATTTATCGTTAAAATTTAGGATGGGTCGGTACTGCGTTTTACAAGGGAAGTCAGTCGTATTGTACACGCTACACAGTAAAATTAATGTACCAAAATACAATAGCTATTACGCCTTGATACAAGGTAACCGTCCAAAGTACCACGTTACACATCTGTTATTAGGGCATTTATATGTACCAACGTATATAGATATATTATAATAATAATTATTACAGTATCAGGCATGTCTTGTACCCGGTATCCGCTTCGAACGGGTACCGGGTAGTGGGTACAGGTATCACTGTCCAATACATGCATGATACATTTTTTTAAACTTCGTATTAGCTCTGGTAGGATGTAAAATGGCCTCGTATCCATATTATAAAATTATTTAAGAGTATAGTTTACTTGCAAAATTTAAAAAGCATCGATCCGTAAAACTTTACCATCATCAATCATCAGACTTCTGGTACATTGGCTTAACTGAGTTTAACGTTTTGGTTTATTTTCCCCTCAACCTCCAACCGAAAGGTTCGCGAACAATTGGTGTATACGCCAAAAGTCGCCAGTGTATATTTTAGTAGATCACATAATGTATATTTGCATTCAGGTTTAATAAACAACAAATAATAACAATAACAAAAGACCTATATTGACACCCCGTCTACTTTTATATAGATATTTATGATATACAGTACTGTATATCATAAATATCTATATTATATAAGATTAGATATCAAATTCATGCGTACTTACACTAGTGTAAGTACGCATGAATTTGAGTTGCATGTGCGGTAGCAGTGAGTTGTTTACGTATGCAAATATTGTTACTGAGCGGTAATACTCTGACGACATAAAAATAACTCATGCTATACAGCACAAAACGGTGGCAACCGTAAAGCGCTTGAATGAATTCAATTCCTGCTGCCACAATTATCATAAAAATTCAATATCATTTCACTCATTTCAAAATTATCCATATCTATGCGGAAGTTTATACCCAATTCTTAATTAAAGCTGCCGTTTCCAAGTTTCAAGGTCATCTTCAAAGGGGTTGGCTAGCTACTCTATGGTTTGTGGCAACTATCCTGAGTGGATGTATTCGAAAACAAAAATTATGTGACGCAGTAACTGAACCACGGTCGATTTAAGTGTGATATCAGTTTCTTTTGAAAATGTGCGTTGTGGTTAACCAATATGGTCTCAGAACTAAAACTCTACCGGTACCACTATATGTTCCAAATTTTTTTTCCCCGTATATGTTAGTATGATTTTATGTTTGTCGCATTGTGCATGCTTATCGGCTTATTGGTTAGTAAGAGATTACAAACAAGTAGAAGCAAAACTGCTCAATCTAAGAATCTGAAAGCCGGTTAATAAGACGGTGAACGTTTTATTTCCGGTGGCTTTTTTAACAGAAGATTAACTTTACGGAAAAGGAGCTGAATTTCATGTAGTTAACTTACATAGTTAAGTGTACTTATCTGCACCAGGCCCTACCTCGAAAAATTGCTAAAAAAGCTGCTCGTAGATCGGGTAACACTGAAATGAAAACTATCGGGTCAACAAGCGGCTGGAAAATGTAGAGAGTCTCCGTTATCTGGTAAACAAGAGCATTAGGAACGGTATCCATAAAAGCGGTCACAACATAGCACAAGTACACTGGGCACCAACAAATCATTAAACTAATCGTCAAGCCAGCCAGTACGGCAAACGCATGTTTATTTTCGTTTTTTCCAGATTTCGACCGTAAGCTTCTCTTATAGGTTCCCATGTTTGTTGACGCATCATTTGTGGTACTGGTCACCGTTGCAGTATGCACTGCAGAAGTGGGTGCTGCAACTGTAATGTCACCCTGCGCCGGCATGACACGTTCTGGCGGCTCCTGGTTTGTGTGGACCTTTAGAGTAACAACAGCTTGAACCCTTCGACGTTTCCACCTGGCATACCACAAATACGGACAAGAAAAGATTACCACGGCCATGGGTAGGAGGTTCACCAGAAACTGCATCATAATACTTAACTTTTTACGGCTGCCGTGTTGAGATCACAGCCGTTGGTCGCCAGTGGTAAACGATAAAACATGGCATCCAGTATTACAGCCGGCAAGCACAGACAGTGCACATACACCCACATACCCACGCACATGATCGCTGCGGTTTTCGTACTGTTGTGATGGCGATAAGAAAAGGGAAAGGTCACGGCCCATAAGCGGTTCAGGGTAATGAGGAGATGCGCATTAAGCAGGACCCCACAGAGGACGTACGCATTGTACAAATAGACAGTGCATGCAGTGTTGGTGAGCCACCACGCCGCAGAAACAAAATAAATGATTTCTAGGGGATTGTTGATGATGACGAGGCAGAGATCCGCTGACAGAAGACATCCAAGGTAAATATTAAATGGGCGATGAAGACGGTTATCGGTGATAAACAAGAACACGATGATGGCGTTTAGAGTGATAGCGCAGGGAAGAACTATCGTTTCCGCTATAGGAGGAAGTGACCACGTCTGTTGGTCAGCGGGAGCTGTGTCGTTTAATGACAAGTTAGAAGGCTGTGTGCTAATGCTGGCTAATACATTTGTGTTGAAACTGGTGGTACCGTTCATTTTGCCAGTTTAGTTAGCAAGTAAAACGTATAAGCAGTACTTTAGTGCAATGCCAGGATTACTTTAAGTACACTGTAGTGCACGTAGAAGTACAAATATCTATACTAATAGCAAAAATGTTGTGTGTGGCACAATTGATCATATACTGCTAAGTTTTTTGGAACACGGGAATTAACTTACTCATAACCATGCCGAAGGCCTGTCAAATCAAAGTTGAAGCAAGAACCTCTAGCTGACATTTATTACATATTTGTTGTTGACTGAAGATCACTCTTTGATGAACCGGTGATGCATTATTGGAGACGAGAGAAATTATACATTATTACATTCAACGTTATGATCCTGCAAGCAAACTGAATGAAGTAATGATCTGGCGTTAATTTTTAGGTTGAAAGCTTGAACTTTAATTGCATCACGGGAATGGGAGGTGCCAGCATTAAAGGCAATAGTTTCAAATGTTGAAGACATGCATCATCATAAATATTCCTTGTTTGTGTTCGTATCAGTTGTATAATTGTCAGTGCCGGATGTCAATGATCAAAATACCCACGTTCAAATCACGTACAATGTGTCACCAAGGATCGTATATTCAAAACCCTTCAGGTGGATATAACTGCCTATGAGATCGAGTTCGTCTGTCATTAATAATGTCGTTCAATATATGTCTCGCCAATAAGAACAAGCAAGTAAACAGAGATCAGCATTTGGCCACGATGGTGCCAGAGGCCTCCGTGTCCAAATGAAGGAAAAAATGCATCACGAAACAAAAACTATGACTTTGAGCTGATACCTTCCAGATAAGAGCCGTTCTTCGTCCGGACAGGTACATAATACAAGGTGATGAATGCAACCAAGCCAGTGGCCACTTGTGTACGGTAGCAGTTATGTAGCCAATCATCGTGCTGTGCTCTCGCTACACCAGCTTTTGTCGCCAGGCGGTTGACCTTTGTTTCGCTTTCCATTATATGCACTTACTCTTTCTTGCTATTTTTGTGAGCAGTTTATCTTGCATTTAGCTCATCTAAACGATCTAATGATGTAGCACTCGCAATTTCGAACAGAAAGCAGCAGTTTTAGCAGCTCAGGAGCAGCTTGTTAAAAATTTTGAGATAAAACTGGTTCTGGTTTACTGAACCTCTCAAGATGTTAAGTACCATAAGCTCGTCGTTTAATTACAGTGAATTAATTCTGCTTGATGCGTAGTCAAGTGCAAGGGTATCTCTGCAAATGCCCAAAAGATATACAGATATGCTTAAGGAACCTTTCGCAGTTTGCTTTCGCACAAAGAAACTTTGGTTGTACTGACTTGTTTTGTTCTCGTGACCCAGTCAAGATAGCGGCGAAACACAGCTCTTTCGGTTCAGGTATGCTATGCAGTTAATTTTCAAAGTCAAAAAATGCTAGTGTTTTGTCGGCCAAAGAATGGAGGAGCGAAGATGGAAACTACCACTCCAAGGAGACTAAGCATTTCCAGAAAACCAAACGCCTGAAAGATAAAACATTCACTTTGTATGTACTGATGTTTAACTGTCATTACAGTCACAGTTATTAATACTGGTTCATTGTGGTTGACACTCTGGCACAGTATTCTGCCATTCTGTACAACTAAAATGTCAGCTCTTTACCGTGCTAGCTTGCGCGGCGGAATATCCGTAGCCGATGTACCGAGTATTGGTGGCCATGCACGAAGAAGATACCAGTAAGAAGAAAGTCCAAAATGCAGAATGAACTATTAGCTAAAAAAAACAACAGAAATTCAGGAATTTTGTCAACCCTACCAGACGTAAAGTAACGCCTTGTTTACACGTCTGTGAAGATGCTTCGAGACCTTCATAACCATAACTTCTTACTTCCTGACTGCATTATACGTACAAAACCGTGTTGCCAGTTTCGTTACTGGAAAACTGGTTTCTGTAAAAACCGAACGAGTCTAACGTTTACTTGCTTACTATGTACGCCATCACGGTGGATTTGATATTAAAGAATTTATCCAATGAGAAGACAGCAGCGGCTATGAAGATGGCCACGAACAACCAGGAAGTAACTACGCAGAATTCATGGAAGATAAAGCTGTGCCAGCCAGCAACCCACCAGTTCTGCGTTTTCAGCGCTTCGGTACTGATAAGTCCACAGAAGGCAAGAATCTGCATCAGAAGATGTCTACAACTAGAAGCTGCGATTTACATTCATTGGGCTGATGCGATACAACTCATATAATACGGCAAAAATACTGCACAAATGATTAAGTATAAAAAAACTGATATTCCAAGTATACTGTATGTATACTGAATTGTCCGTCGTGGGTTTGAAACACTGAAGCCGGTTTCAGAAACATGGATATGGAGCAGCATAGACTGCCTCACTACATTTAGATGTTTAAAACATTTACCTCTGCCACTATTGTTAGAATTCCCGCGGGAGACTGGATGAATCGCCTATTGATTGTTCCAACCTGCCGTGTTTCTGTGGTTGACGGAGGCGCAGAAATTGTGTAGCCCGGATTTATCGTCGAATTTTTGGAGTCCACGTCGGCCATCATTTTCGAAGTAAAATTTATCCAGATTCCAGAAGAATCTATACAGTCTCGCTGCTTCCCAAAGAGACTGCGCTAACGGCAGTTATAGTTTCAGATTATTAGGTTCCCAGGTGGATAATACTGACTGTATGCTATATGCCCTTATCACTGCAGGAACGATAAGGAAACGTATTTACTCTTTTTTCGTCGCTCTTAGGTTAATCATATTGACTTCCTGGTCCGCATGGTGATTCTTAAGTTTGAGTCTTGCTCGGTACGAAGTTTTCATGAACATTTATCGAACATGTCAACCATAATAATTACTAATCTAATCTGCGTACATATCAAGCGATATGCCGACATTCGGTGAGTAATTTCCTGATTTGATCTTATCACCACTTTTAAGACATGATCTGGGTGACTGTGATCTCATTACTAAACTAGATAGACTTGTCTTCAAAATGCACAAATTTGAGCGTACTAGCGTAGTAATCTCACTGTTGTAAAAAATGCCAGTTAACGGGTTTCTAACGTCGTCTGGCTTTGTCCATAAAAGTTAATTAAACCCCAGAATCAGGGCGTAGCAAACTAGATCTCGAGCATATATAGGATATGATTATTGTATCAAAAAACAGCCATTGCCGGATTGGACTTGTACAGTATTGACGGAATGCATATGTAGATGACCAATCCTAACAAAGAGAGCAGTTCAAGGAAGCCGAATGTCTAAAAAAACACAAAAACAGCTTCATCTTGATTCTTTATAAGTTATACCAACCCAGGCTTGTAATTACCACGCGTATATAATGTCATAGTGCTGTAGGTACTTAAAACATGCAGTAGTAGTTGCGTTAAAAAAGTGTAAATTAAATTTGGTCAAATATAAATATGGGCGCAAATTATACATCACTTACGGCACTAAAATCCAGAGGCGATACCGTTAAATTATAAATGTATCCGATACTGGCCGCATAAGAAGACGATATCAAGATCAAAAATGCCCAGAAAGATGAGTGGATCAAGATCTACCAAAAATATCATTTTTCCAAAGGAAGTTGGGAGTATTTCAGCGAGCGGCAACACTGCGACTCAGCTTGGCAGTAGCAATAAATTAAGCAGTTCTTTGCACATATTGCTATCTGTGCACATAGAGCATGATAGAGGCATTCGCCGTGATTCGTGACCTTACCATGTTGGCCATGACTTTTGGGTGCATTCCGAACCATTTATCCAGCGAAAATAAGGCTATGGCTAAAAGTGCGGACGAAAATAACCAGGAAGTAACCATGCACACTTCGTGATAAACAAATTTGGAATTTTTACTCCAGAAAGTAAAATAGCCATCAGGACCGGCTTTGTGATCGTACTTGAAGATTTCCGCGCAAACGAATCCACAAAAACTGAAAATCTAAAAATTACTTTTTAAATAGAATATCGTTTACCATGATTATGCAAGTTTGTAAGATATCTTACCACTGACAAAATTAATAAAATTCCGATCACCGACCTCAAAAATGCTTTATTTAATTCGCCCACGCGACGCTCGGGAAGCTGACGTGAGTGCTTTTGATTCTCCACGCCGAAGACAGTACTGTGAAGAGATTGAGCATTCCCTATCATTTTGGCATTGGGCATTTGTACTCAGAATCGGTTAATCAGCTTCAGGACTGTTTAACTGTAGCTGAAATCTCCAAGTACTTAATACAAACAGCTAACCTTCCGTACTTAATATCTGTGTTATATTTCGGTATACTGTATGGGTGTGACACAATGCGAATGTTTGAGTTTCTGAAGTTTTCTTACTTCGTTTAATATCCTCCGTTATTAGTAATGTTGGCCGTGACGGTAAATATTTATCCATAATGTGTTTCTTGCACTTAGTGTACCCGTATACAATAATATTCAAAAAGCAAACGTGCAGCATGCGCCGTGTGTAAACAAGTTTCGTGCACGGTGACTGGTGAGTACCTGTTTATACTGGCATACCCCTCTAAACAAAAATTTTACAAGGTATGTGCGACTCATTACTCAGATATTTCCAAATTTTATTACGGAGCGCAACCTTCTTACAGAGTTATACTAAATATTTTTCTTGCAAATTCGCCAACAAAGAACCTGGACAATGTCTGTTTTACTACGGCAGTTGTCAGAAAACAAAGACCAACGTTTTGGTACGGTTTAAAATCAGTCAAACGAGGGTGCATGGAATTTGTTCACCACGTGGAGCACGGTAATCACGGCAGCGCCAAGGAGGGCAAAACTTTCAAAAAATCCAAACGCCTAAGATAAAGAAGGTAAAGAAGAGACAGGTATCGTACGATTTTCCGATACTAAATTTTCTTTGATACACCGTACCTTAATTTACTGGAGTACGTGATGTGCAGTTTTATTATAACTTCATAAGTGTTCAAACAAACGGTAAAAATAATAGCTTCATTCTTGAAATACATGGCATAGAACGGTGGTACTCGTAGAAACGTTGATTCTCAAGCCTGCACTTACTGCACTGGCTTCGTAGCCGGCAACGCTGACTCCGGCAAGGCTAGTGAAGGGCTTGAGTGCATTGGCATGGGTCGCGATTACACACGAGGAAACAAAAGTGAAGAAGCACCAAAAAGCGGAATGCCCAATTACCTTCGAAATCAAACACAACATACAGTATTTCAAGAAGATTAAACATTTCATTTCAGAAACTTGTCAATCGAAATTCTGGCTTAAACTTTATTCTTTAAATAGTCTTCGGCGCAAGTACTCGTACAATCTGTAATGCACCTGTCATCGTTATAATTAGTATGCAATTCGTGCTATAATTCTGGCGCGCATTTTAAAAAAAGTACGTATGTATACTTGAGCGATACCGTGGACATTGTAGATTATGACAAAAAGTGATTTGCAACAACTCGACATGCGCGAAATCATTCGAGCAATAACGTACAATAAAATTCATCGTGGATTCCGTCAATCCCAGCATGTTGTGCACAGAAAACCCGGCAAAAACAATAAAGATACTCAGGAATATCCAGGATGTGATGACGGAAAACTCATGGAAAGCCACTTGACTAGCGCGCCAGCCCACGGGTTGTGACACAGTTGATTCAACGCAGATCATGGCAATAAGTGCGCAAACCTAATATAAAAAAACGAAAGGTAAACCAATCAAACTGATGTTCTTTCCTGCTTTTTTTCATCCTGACTTAGATCCCGATTAGCTGTGCGGGAGAAAGAGAAGAGGGGGGAAAGAAGAAGGGACTTGCTTTAATTAGTTTTGATCACATTATAGTAAGTGCTATTTTAAAACAAGAATGATTAACCTTGCAGTACCAATATAATCATACATATCCAGTTTTTTAATGCACGACATAGAATAAATACTCAAATAAATTTTTATTGTGCGTACACATGTCTCCAGGTACCGAAATATTTGAATAGACCGCTCCAGCGTTAACAAAACAGATATTCTGGGCATACAGATATAATGTATGCTGCGCTGGTTTTTGTGAAACGTTAAAAACAAAAAGAAAAGAAACAGACTGAACTTACCATAGCGACAACCGTGCAAATACCGCCAATACTGGTAAAATAACGCCTATTAAAACCGATTCCTCCAGCCGATCGCGAGGCCGGCATGGCCGCTGCGGGCGGAGGGTAGCCGCCATTGAAGGACCCACCAGATGGAGGCATTTCCGCCATCATTTCGAATTATTCTCGGATTAATTAAAAGGGGGAGAACAAATAAGCAGATCAGTTGCGGTTTATTGAAGAACGCCAATAACACAAGCATCCATAGCGTATAAGACTATGAGCATTGCTAAACATACACAAACTTTCCGGGCAGCTCCCATCTAACAATCTTATCACTTATATAACGCAAGACAAATATGACCTTTATCACCACACAGCTTTCTATCGCTATCGTTTGCATTGTGTGACGGTGAATGGGGATGGTAGTGCTTTACGGCTTTTAATAGCAAATGACAAATACAACATGATTTCCTCAATCCTAAAGTATAGTACGTAAAACTATGTATATATGGCCAGTGTCTGGTGTAAAATGTAGCATTTATAATTAATGCTGTTTGTATGTACGGTTAATTTTATGCCTGTTGTAGTACTTGCTGATTGCTGTAGACCAATATGGTGTTCTAGAATAATTATCTGTACGAGGTAGGCATAGTTATTCACTTTTAGGACTAACACTTTAGTGTGATTGTGGAGCTACCGGCTTCGCCAGAACGTATGCTGCGCAATACGCGCTTTGTAAATGCCATACTTTTTAATTACTAACTTACTATCAAGGTAGTGTTGATATGTTACGCGCACGGGCAGAGTAAGGTGTCATACTCTGCACTTATCTTAATTAAAATTTCTTGTTACTATTTTTTCCATAAACGAAATTTACAATGAAAATTTTCAAAGAAAAACACGTAATTAGTTCTTCAACAGTCATGCATGATCAATCACAATCCACTGACGCATCTGCTTTGTCGATGATCACGTCGGTACCATCGTAACATATGCATCTCTGCAGTGGAGGTTGATATTGCAAGCTACTTTATCCGCACTCCCATCGGGAAGTTTATACAACTTTTTTGAAAAATAATTGCAAATTCGAAATTCGTTTAGCTAGGTATATGAAATTTTATGTCTGATATGCATTTGTTTTAAATATTCCAATTCGGTCCAAGAGAAGAATGGCAACAGTAATTATTAAGCATCCCATTTCACATAATCCGCACACCTAAAAATTATATCAACACTACGTCAAACACCCACAAGAAATAATTTTAGTTGAGAACATACTGTACAGATGCAATACGACTGTGACTTAAATAACTAAGATCATGTACCGCGCCACCGGAAGTACAAAAGCGTGCGCCGCATTGCACTTAAACGTAAAAGCTGTGTACGTGCAACATAGGTAGATAATTATTGTTACGCATAGGTAGATAATTAAAATTAATATATAAAATCTGCTAAAAAAAAACGCTTAACGGAAAAGCTGTGTACGTGCAACATAGGTAGATAATTATTGTTACGCATAGGTAGATAATTAAAATTAATATATAAAATCTGCTAAAAAAGTGCCACCGCTAGTAAAGCGTAACTTTGGCATCACTTACGCCGGAAGCCATAACCGTCTGCAGATCCACCTCCCTAGCACGTGAACTTGGAGTATCTTTGAAGAAAAAGTAGTGCCAACTTCGCGTAACCATAGCTGACGAGGACACCATTAAAAGAATTGTCCAGATAGCAGCATGAACAAGCGCCTACCAACCATAAAAAAGCGTCCGTAGGATTACTGCGCATTTAATTAAATACAGTTAAGTTTATTAATAAAATTAAGTTTAATAATTTGGAAAACGGCATTCAGCTTACCACCATCTTCAGCATATTCCCGTTCATTTTTGTGTTGCAAGATAATATAACAATCGATGCAACGAATAATAACACCAGGGTAATGAATGAACCAATGACGTTTACTTCATGAAAAGTGTACATGGAGTATGTGAAGGTTAGCCAGAGATGCACGGTTGGTTCCTGTAGCCGGAAAATTTCGTAGGATATTATTCCCGCAAGGGCAAATAACTGCAACAAAAGTTTTCCTTAAGACAAAGTTCTTTTGCATAATTACGAATTTTGCTGAGGTCGAAGGGTTTATGTGAATTGTAAATGTGTAACATACCAAGGCCACAAACGTCATTGCGCCAGGAACCGTTAAGAGAAATCCATTGACTGCCGGCGGCCGCATTCTTATAGATTACAGATAATGTCGACTACTTTTCCATAAAACCAGAAAAGAAAAACGACCCAAGAAAAAATAATGAGATTAATTTTAAGTTACAAAAATTGTTTTGTACATGGAAGTGTAAGAGAGAGAAAATGGTCAGTTCAGAGGAAACATGCAGTAACGCGTTGCGCATTTTGTGGTGCAAAACCGTCGACTTCCGGTTCATGCCACAGCAGGTTGAACTGTGACGCAATATGCGTTTGCCGAAGTTCAGTTACTGCAACGGTGTTCTATGTTGATTTACCGCTGAAGGCCTGAAACGATAATAAACGCGTAATGCATGTGAAATCTGAATTTACTGCAATCTTATCTATCATGGCCTTGTAAGATTTAAGCAGCAAGAACAGCTGATAACTGAAGTAGAATATTATCTGTTCGGCTATTGCCGTGGCTGTAGAGCGCGCCAATGATTTGATTCATCTGTTGTACTGAAATACATACTAAATAGCACATATATGTTGTAGTACATATATGTTGTAGTACATTATTTTCTATATGTTGTAGTACATTACCATATTAATGTGCGCATCCAGTTGCATTCTCCAAGTTAATAATCCTTTGTTACAATACTTACGCTTAGAGGAAGCGCGTAATTATAAAACCACTTTATTTTAACGGAATAAAATGAGTGTCTGTATGATTTGACAAGAAAATTACTGCAAAACCAGAAAATCGCAACCACAAAACACTTTGAAAAATATCTGTGTAAAAACAACAACGATGAAAAACAGAAAAATAATTTCTGCTGTGGTATTTTGCAACTGAATTGTACTACGCCGTGGATGCCGTACCGCCGCAAAGTCCCAATTAATGACATCATCGCGTACACAAAAACCGGTTCTGACAAGAACGCACGCATGTTTTGTAAGAAGAGATGTATACCAACAACAAATCTGATCATCTGAACATTCCATAATTTTTCCACAATGCAATGTACACCGACACGCTAATATACAACAGGATGGTTACTTATTGCATTCCTTTTTTCAGCATTTCGGTTCAGAATATTTTGGTCTTTTGCTGACTGAAGCTTGTTTTCATTACAAAAGACTGGTGACGGAGAGATCAGTACGATAGGAATAATTACCGTAAATAATCTATCCTACCGACCTACTCAACGACCGAGTATGAGCTGGTATCTCAATGTGGCATAGCTAAGTCTACGAATCTACGCGAAGCGAGAACTGCATCTCCGACGATATTTTAATTCTGAACTCCGAAACTGCCAAAACTCGTAATGAGAGAACTGACGACCTAAAATACTGCCACTCACGGACTTATATAGACACGGCGCATCCGTGTAGAAACAACCAAAAGTAAATCCGGAAACAAAAGAGAAACGATCGAGAAAGTACAGCGAATAATGGAAAGTACGAGTAAAGATATATAGAAGTACGTACTACGCTGCTACTGTACACCATATTCCGTCACTGGCAATATCATGCATGATAATCTTCGCTGCCCATGCAAGCGTTTGTCTTCATTCCCGTAAGAAAAGGAATGCTCACTAATATTAGGCATCCCATTTCACATAATCCGCACACCTAAAAAACGAGAAGTATTGTATGATACACATACTATTTTTAGCTGCTATTGTAAAAGCTGACTCGCAAACTTGAAAATGTTTGCGAATCAGTCAGCGCAGAGTGGCAACGCAGGGTAGAGCAGGATTTTTGTCAAGAAGGAAGTAATTATACGATGGAAAAGCAAATAGTAAGTAAAAGTAATGGAGAAAGAGACACAAAAGTAAAAGCAAAGTTAACGACGAGACGCAGGAGTGTGTGTTAGAGGAGTGACTATGACATAACACTGAATTCTGAGCGTGTGATAGTGACCTTTTGTTAAGCTGTCGCATAACGCCGTTTAGTCTGAAAAACACTAAAACTTACACCCGATGCCTTTATAGCTTCCAGATCAGTTGACCCATACGTGTGCCAGTTAGGCGTCACCATTACCGAAGATGACACCAACAATAATACCGTCCAGATGAGTGAATGACCGCCAAGCTTTGAATCAAAACGCAAACATTATCAGTTAAACAGCAAGAGCTTGTTGCAAAATCGGTGCTCGCTCACCAGGACCTTCCCACAGCCTCGTGAGCCCGAAGATCCATTTGTACACATAAATACGGCCCATCCTACTAGTATGAGAAACAGCATTACGCAGGATGCAATGAAATTGACTTCATGAAAGGAGTAGATCGGGTACGATGAGGTCAGTGCCAAATGTAAATCCGGATACTGGAATCGGAAAACTTCATACGAAATCACTCCAGCAATAGAAAACAACTGCAACACAGAACGGTTGACTGTATCAGTTAAAATAGACTAACATCCAGCAGACCGAGTTCACTGTTTTTCGAAATCAACCGTTCTTGATTTACCCAGGCTAAAAACATTATTATGCCGGGACCTGTTGACAGGCATCCAGCCACCATCAACTTGTGCATTTTGTAGGCAGAAATGAAATTCCAGGTGCAAATGCTGCACGATATCGATACGCACTGTCTAAAAGCGTAAATTGATCTGTGCTGTGAGGAGGTATAAAAGGATAGAAATTCCTTTCAGCGCTGATGACAGAGAACCGAAGGGACCTTCTGTAGTAAGGCAGTTTGTTTCAGCAAGTCACAATTGCTGCTTTTCAACTGTTGAGAAAAAAGCGTTAGGCCAGAACGGTCAGTACATTTATCGAGAGGGGTTTATACGTATCGAGACGTATTGATACATCTATCGAGAGGGATTTTTAAACCTCTAATAATCAAATAATTTACTACTACTACCATCCAGGATATAATTATGACTGCGGTAAATGGATGCAAAGAGATTGTTCGTCTCGGAAAGCCACATAAAAGAAAGTCTCGTCTCACTTTCTAATATTCGTTAACTGGTGCAAGTGAAGCGCGCTGCGAAACATAATATGCACTTATCTCGACTTCGGCTGATATGATGTCAGCGGTTTTCAGCTTTTCAATAAATGGATCGCCATTTACTATTTTCAATGCATGTTTATCATATACCAACCGAATTTTGATATTAATCATTTACCACACACGGTGTACCAATAGAGTTCATTGCTTGTGCTTCGTATAACTACTCAAATCGTGCAAGAAAATGTCAACAAAAACAGTCGTGCAACACGTCTGGTTACAAATGAATCCTAGAAAACAATCTGACAATTTTAGGCCTTCCGATGGAACGGCGGAATTTCCTGGATAATATTATTGTTGACATGTGCATGCGCACTGTGGTTGACACCTTTGGATGTGCTGGCGATTTGTTGTTGGCGATCGGGGCCCACTTTCACATAACTCGGTCGGTATAGAATGACCTCGTCTGGTCCTTCACTTAACCCCAGTGTACCGTCATACACTTGGCCGATTTGGAATTCGGGGCTGATGTACATTCCTCCTTCAACATGTTCCGCAGCTTCTTCTATAAAAATGACAAAAGGTCATGCCATCACAGTTGCAATAGTCTCTTCAACAAAAAATCACGTGCCAAAATACTGCGTAGTTCTTCGCACACAAAAGCGGCCTGTACTATATTTTCAAAACCAGAACGGTAACTTCCAATTGGATGCACGTGCAACTTCGCAGTGACTACTTGTATAATTATCAGCGCTAATTAAAACACCGGTCATTTTGCGTGCTTATATCTGTACTGTAAACCTAATCTGAACTGAACATGCACTGGTAAGATTTCAATGTAAACTGGCCGCATGTAAACGAATTCAAAACGAACCGTATGAAATTGATGGTACAATGCCAGTGTTTTTATCTCGAGCCGGTTTCGTTGCAATTGTTAAAGGAAATTCCATATGGAGATCTTCGCCAGAGTTTTTCATAACAACACAAACCTGTGGGCAAGAACACTAATATAACAAGCAAGCAGCACTGGACAAACGTCATGACAAATGCTGCACTCTAGGCGAACTTGCGAATTATTTTTCTTGTTCGATAAATGTACGATGCTACAGCTTACTTTGAGCACATAGTATATCTGAATGAGACGACACACTCCAATAAGTGTGGGCGGCACCACAGGAATTATCCATTTGGATTTGTCCTTTTCGGGTTCGCTGTCTAAACTGCTCTTCCAGTTGGAATCGGGTTCGACCTCGGAGCCGAATACCTGCATTACCATATGGCACACATCCTTGCTAACACCCAGCGGTCCGCGATCGATAAAGTATTCCACATACTGCAAAACAGTGGAAATCGGGAATTATAAGAGGGCTCACAGGAAGCGTCACAGCCAAAAACCGTGGTAATGTAAGGCTTTGCGCTCAAGGTCGGAGGGACAATTAAAAGTTATTTCATGGTTTTTACCAATCACATAATTTGCTTAGTTTCCTTACTTGATAGAGCTGTAGCCGGAGCTGGGCCGCTTCATTGGACTGATTGTTAAGTTCAGCCTGGAATTCCAGCCGTTCACCGGAACAATAGGCGGTTCGTGGCAACGTGCAATGTAAACTAATTGGTCCTTTCCGGCAACAAAGACAGCAGAGCACTTTAATGTCCTGGGCAATGACGGGCGTCTGTAATGGTTAATCAGCATGTATGGTGCGGCTGTCCCGACATGCACGCGGATATATAAAAATTAATGATCACTAACGATATCATCACCGCTCCGTACCATGTATTTATCCTCATTGCAGTCGATTGTCGGACCGACTAATGTGAAGTATTTGATACCTTGCGGTGGGGAGGCGTAGGGAATGTCAATGGTCACTTTCACATAGTAACGGATGGTACCGGTACGGCTTTCGAAAGAGCACGCCATCGGCTGATTGGCCGGATCAGGTAGAAGGAATTTAAAGGGGAACTGGTGCTGGCCACGCGGCAGGATAGGTATCGACTCGTCCGTCCTGTCTATACGAACGAAAATTCAATTAGTCAATTTACATTACAATTATTGTTAAACCTGCATCATTCCTATAATTTTAATGTATATATCTTAGGAATTAATTTATCGCTGCTACGTGGATGTTTGTTAAATACAGTTTTCATATATATACGGTGTAACAATTAATTTTGATCAGTGCAAAAAAATTAATGGCACACACATTCTAGTCAAAGCATTGTCTAAATCTTTAATGCATTACTGAAAGCGATTTATAGAACAGTCTGTGGTATTGAAATATCGAGGCGCGAGGATGTTAATTTGTTAGCTATGCGCATAATCGATAGTGTACAGGCGGAAAATGCGCAGTCGATTTCAGGGATTTCATGTACATCCCAACAAACTTTATGCAAATATTGGCTGAAGTCCTCATCAATCGATCGAGCCATGCAAGCAGGCAAATGTACAAAGTGTTAGCCAAGAGTTCAATATACGCGGCCTTTTATGGACATTTTGCATTTACAACCGCAATATACGGGATAAATATGCTGCTGCACAGAGAGCTACATACAGTATGTAGCGCGTACCTTTGCCCCACACAATGATCTTGTCATCGAGAAAGTATTGATCATCTTTAACTGTTCGTCTTTCACCCGACTTCATCACTTTCCACTCAACATGCGCTTTACCACGCAATGTCGCCCGGATGTTGCGGATCTTCATGTTCTCCCGATTGTCCAGTATCACATGACCGCCCAAGAATTGACCCGGATATACACACTCACGATCCAGCTGGATATCGAAGCGGCGTATGTAGTCCATCATGGCACAGCCGCCGGGAAGCAGCACACTCTGCTGTGCGTGTAGTCAACGTCCGCGTTTTCAACAGCCGCACACTCGGATATCTACAGAAACAGCCGAAAAACAATAAGTTCCCCATAAATCCCGGGGTTTATGCGGCACGCAGCAGCACTTTAATTGATCCGAAAGTATTCATAGGATCACGCGGTGCCTATTCGGAAAACACAACAACCGGCACATTAACTGCAGGTTCTTATGCGTTTTTAAGAGCATTCGCTTCTTTACATGGTTCCGCTTAGTGTTATAGCGTTCCCAGATTTTTTGTTTACACAGATATCACTCTTCGTGACGGCGCGTATCACATCATTACGGCAAATTAGACAACGTGCTGATGCTTACTTCTCCCGTGTTATTGGACAGAAAAATGATACTGCTTCACCGGCTCGCGCGCACTAATGGGAAGCGCGCCGCGTGTTGACGGGAGATCATATTCTATGCAACAGTGTCACATTTCACGCGGATTGCTCCTTCACAGCAGACATCGGCTCATTATGCGACCGCGAACAGGGGGACAGGAATTATGCACTGACAGTTTAATTTCACACGTAGCGCTTCCACAACAAACCATCTCCCAGTGGCCGCTCAATAATTTAAAGAGGAAAATTAATTCATCAAGCGGTATACGTAGGCAACACGTGACCCGCAATGTTCATTCAGTCATCTGTTTGCAAACGTATTCATTTATTCATAAGGTCCAGTGTACATACAACCAGTAACAATGCCGGTTACATGATTATAGCCTGTATGTGCATATATATAAGTATGTCTGTGTAATGATCAGCAGCAGAATTATATGCCGTATATATACACGCCGGTCAAATGTAATCATTTATTCGTGCTGTGAAATGCATTTAGTATAGATCTGAAATTCACTCAAGAGATGTCTCCCGAGTATTTTATCTGGCAGGGCATTGCGCGAATCATTTCCATACAGGACCATTCACATGCAAATGCTCTGGCCGCAGCTCAAAATCAAGAACATTCAGTATCCCCGGCATTTCATCCTTAATTATGTGCGCTGTTTATTGACCTATTCCTTGTCATGTCCTCTTCGGCCCAACTACAACTCCTTGAGACGCACACTATATGGGACTCGTGGTGTATGGCATCATATTCACGATCCTTCAACGCGCCGTGTGCGCTAATAGTAGCCAACTTTGTATGCCATTGTTGCGTGTATATACATGTATCCCCTTCGCATCCAGGAAAGAGGCAATATTTCTTCCCATTTTCCCTGCACAAGTCACAACTATATATGACAATTCTATGCGCTCTGGCGCGATTGTCTGCTGCTGTACAGCGCAGTGTTCTCTGGAGTTTTTGGGCGATGAGTAATTGGAGAGGCCATTAAATTAATTTAATTTGCCCGGCTTTCTGTCAAAATAAAGTATGTAAGGAGAAATGTCGGAGCACTGCAGCTCAGATCGATACACGACGACTGTATATGTCCGTATAGCGCCATGCACATAGATATACAGTCATCAATTTTTTCCCCTTCCTGTATCCCTTCTTGCACCCCAATTTCCAGGCCTTCAATAAAATTTATGATGCTGTGGAGATGTACGGCACACACACTACAAGAGATAAACAGGGAAAATGTGTATACTGCGTAGGCGCATGCATTATCGATAGATTGGAGAATCCATTTCACTGATATATCGATGTGACGCGCAATCCAGCGCTACTAATGCGCTTTTCTCCGAACACGTATATACATACACGTTCTCCCAACACAAACGATTCAGGGATCGGCGAAATCCTTGAGGACGGGGAACAGAAAACAATATAATATGGAGACATAGATAAAGCCGGTATAATATATTGTTTAATTATTAAGTGGATGTAACAAGCAGATAACTAGGGGATTTGGCCAACGAGGCCAAATACCCCATGTCAGCTGTCGGCGGCTGCTGGCTGGCTGCTGCTGTGTGGGTGCGTGTGCGCATCGGAGACGGTGTTAGTGATATATTAGACTTTCAATTGAGCTCTTCCTATAATCCCTCTAGCGCATTATTGATTTATATCAACCGTTTCCGTGTTTGCTTAAGCTGTGATTTTACACAGTAATCAGTTGTTTAATTATCATCAAACAGACCTCAGCGCTTCTGAGGCACATAATCAGTGCACACAGGAAGGAAAGAAGTCATAAAAAACCAAATCAAGTTGTACAAAGTTTGTTTCGATAGAGCGGTATGTGATAACCATACTACGTCGACAGCCAGTAAATACTGAAGCAATAAGTTCGAATTTATTAGAAGTTTAAGCAGTTAACTTGTATTGTATTTATTTCCGAGAGACGTCTATAATTAATAGTTTTTTAACCAGAAAAACCGCAAAATTAGGACAATTTTACCCACAAAGGGCAAGTTCCTGCCAATAAAAATTACCTGTATATTATAGCGTTATTTTACGAAACGACAAAAATATTTAGTAATGCTATGCACGTTTACTATAAGCAATTATTGTCATATCGTTATTCGCATATTGTTATACAAACAAAACTTATATAACACTACGCCAACGTTTTACGATTCCTACAACATCGTTCAGCGCTAAATGTCCATGCGTAACCCATTCCTTACCCCAGAAGTGAATTATTCTGGCCGAAAACGGTGCAGCCTACAAATCAGCAATTCCCCGGCTCTTAGCGGACAGCACTCAGCCAGTAATTCCCCATTCCAGATTAAAGGCCAATAATCTGCCTGTAAAGCACACTGCTGACACGCCAAAGCATTCCCGTTCACTCCGGCATTTTAATCCAGTAGACGACGAAGCCCGGTACTATATCCCAGCATGATTGTCAAGAGAGAATTGTCAGGGATGCGTTATGCTGCAGCTGCATACCAAACTAACCCGGTGCCGTGCGAATCACTCCCTCTCTTCCCAACTATTAAGCGTTAAAGGGGAAAAATATCACAACACCAGCGCAAACCGGCGCGCGCGTAGATATATATGCAGATATGCAACACACGCAGAGAGAGTTTGTGTACGCGTACTCACCCATACACATATGCACACAGAGCACCTAGTAAATGATCAATTGACCTCCTTGTTACGCGAGGAGAAATAGCCAGGCCAAACGGCTAAATAGCATTTGGGGGAATCCGGAAACATGTGTCGTGTGGCAGTCGAGTCAACGCCGCGGAGTATGCTGTGTGCAGTGTAATAGACTGGCGCGCGGGATATGTAATGTTATGATATTTTGTCCGCGGGATGCAAAGGATGCTCGAGTCGTACAAAACGGATGCGGGTATTCATGCACAACGTACGACGGATGGTCTTTCAAACCGGCGCTCGTTTGTACGCGCCCTCTTTGGCGCGTTATTCGATCGTACGCGACGCGTAACCGCGAAAAAGTCAAGGACGATTTCTACCTTTCAAAGGAACATGACTGTTAATTGTGTCCATGCTGTTGTAATGCTGCCATTCCATGAGGCGGCCACAGTTGCCGGGATGTTGGTAAAAGTCACTTTGGCGCCCACTGCTCTTTGTTTGCCGGGTTGCTTATATGGGATGTAGAGGTCATACAAATTTTCAACAACTTGATCGCTTGGTGGTATATAATTATCGATTTTGTATCATAAGCGTTCGGGACAAATATGCCGCTATAACGTCCACAAGACGGTATATATTGCGATAACTCAACGAAGGAACGGAAAATGTGCGGTAGCGTTGCGGTTTGAATGGTTTCCCACAAAGGCAAATACGTTGTTGGGATGTGCATGAACACAAATGCACCCAACGTGGCCTTCCCTCGTCAGAATTGTGATATAGTTTATTGATAGCTTTTGAATCAAATGTAGATGTTATAGGTAATGTAATAATACTTAGATTTATACGAAAATGACCGATTTCGATATGAGTACTAGATGTAAAATATATCTATTCAGGTATATAACAGCGAGCTTGTCTAAAACACAGCGACGATGCCATTAGCAATGAAAACACGATCCGTAACACAGTTATCACGCAGAACCCGATATTCTATGAATTAAAAAGCCTGAACAGCTCAGTATGAGATCCTAAAAAAGGTAGCACTAGCCAGGCATTCTGCATTCAGTTTTGGATGTCGACATCCATGCATCGCACGGCAAATCTGCTTTTGGGAAGCCGACGCAATCACTCATTGATCCTGCAAAATATTTCATCAGCGCATTTAAACTACTGATAAATCAAACGTTTCTGGAAATACTTCCACTGCGCTAGGTGCCACGAAACGTTTTCCTGTACTGGACGAAATTATTTAGGTTTATTCCGTACAACGCATGCATGTTGACATGCAATTGCATTAGAAAAAATACAGCATAAAAATCACTGTTGCAGCTGAAAACCAAATAAAAATAAATAGATTACTTCAAGATTAAAAAAATTTTGATTTAATAAAGTCATTTGAAGAGAAGGATTTTCTGCTGTATACGGTACAAGTTATTGCCAGCCGAATTGCTGATATAAAATCTATAAGATTCTCTAGTTTAATTTTTTCAAAATCAAAATAAAAACATGGAAGTTAACGTCACAAACAAATAACATTTTATTTATCAGAATAACTTTACATTTAAAACTTCCTGTTATTAAACGCTTGCATGTAGATACGCACCAACACAAACTACGATTTCAGCGGAAAATTCGTCTAAAGCAATTTAAAACAGCGTTTCGAGGTGTTACTGGAGCACTATAGAATGAGAATGTTTTTGGGAAATAATCTTATTTTAAATGAAACTGCTACTAAAATGCGGGTTGTTTACGATGATTTATCAGATGCGTACCTGCTGTCCTACTGCATGTCGTCATGCACAGTTATCCTGTTGGGCAACATTTTCCAAAATCCTACAAATCAAACCATCGACACAAAATCAAACAAAATCAAATAATTTTTCAACCAATCTGGTGTTTGACATTTGAGGCTGATACTAAAGATCTTACCGAAGAATCCGCACAAAACTCCTCAGATCTTCACAGCATTGCAGACGAGCCCAGGTCTTGCGCACATTTCCATAAAGTGCTGCGCTTGGCAGCTTCAAGGCATGAAATGCAAACAGTTGCACTGTTCACGTTAATGCTGAACATTAATCTGGCTGTCGACAGCCATATAATAAAAAACTGGAGATGGTGATGCAAAATTTAAATTAGAAACGTGGATTTTAGAAAGTCAAAGACTGTTTGTTTTTGCAGTCAGTTTTCGGGAGCAAAAACGGCACAACGGCGCTGAACGTGAACGTGCTGTGAATACTGATGTTGCGGCTAAGCCAATCAGAAGAGGCGTAACAACAGCTTTCACTGATTAAGCTCTGCAGCAAAAGTGTTACTGCCGATTTGCATTTGCGCACTCAAAATTTTCTTAATAGCTGCATTTGGAACTAATGTTAACAGTTATCAGTCTTCAACCAATTGCAGTTATATACGATTTTTTTGCAGTGTTTGGTTATTTATGTCGGTCGACCGACAGTTTTGTTTTTGCACCAAAACTATGTTTTTGTTACTCAGTGTATCGCACGGCTATAAAATACGAGTACTGAACGAACGTTTAGCGCGTGGTGATAGCGATACATAAATTGAATAAATATCCTGGCATTACTATTATGTTAAGACAATTTATGCCAAGCGACCAGCAAAGCCCCCGTTTTTATGCACTTGCCAGTTAAGTGTTTTAAACATTTTGTTACAACACAGATTGCATTGACAAGTGACAACGTATAAATTTCTTTTACAAAAGTTTTGTCTTTGGCAACAAAAGGATGTAATTTTGATACAAATTTGTGCTGATATAAAACCTGGTATCTAATCGGCTGCCCAAATCTTGCCGTCGATTTATGTTGTGAGAAACTACCGATATGTTGTAGTATTTTGATATAGTTTAGAAAATACTTTTTGACGTGGGACGAGCTTTACATAATCAGTGCCTGACAATTCAAGCCTGTTTGTGCTATTAATTTAAATCCAATATCCATTATTACGTCTAGCTCGTTTGCAGTTACATCGGTACTGCATATACTTATCATGCACATTATATTTTAATTTCATCGGGTCTTATATAGAAGCATGTTATACAAAATAAACCTCCGGTTTTATTCGAGTATACTGAAGCATGCCGTTCTATAGACGGCGGGTTGTGCCCCGACGATGTCTAACGCCAGTCAAAAAACTGCTTGCCGTAGAAGCGGGAACCCCCATAGTATAATACAAATATTATAGAAAACTAACACATCCAATAAACAGAATTTTCGGTTATCAGTTTTACGTGCTTTCAAGCTTACAGTTTAATAGAAAAACCCCGGATCCTACTGTAAGATCAGCTAAAATAAAGTTACTAAGCATCTACAGATATCCTGATTGAAAACACGTTTATTTTACAATTGCCGGTAATTATCTGTACAGTTGTCCACAAAAGACTTGGGCTGAAATTACGCAAGATATCTCAGTTTCATTATGCATTAAAATACATATGTTGATTTTAGTATCATGTCTCCCCACTTTCTAGTAACATAACCGCCAAGTGCTTCAAAAATACTTGGAATTCGGGATTATCATTGGTTGTGTGTGTGTTTAATACAGATAAAACGCACAAGGAATGCTGATCGGTTAAAAGCCGGCAAGTAGCCCGCTAACGGCCAGTTGGATGATGATCAGCGGGCACTTAAGCTACAAGATGCTTTTTTTGCTCTGATTAACATGCACTTTACTCAATCGGGATAGTTGGCTAGAATAATCCATTAAAGCCGCCGGTCAACGTCGTGCAAATCTTGCTCCGGAAATGTTCCCGGCTGAATATTAGCTATAACGCTGGTGCAAATATATGGGTCATTCACTGCGCGCTACATTTACTAATCGTTGTTCTTCCTGAGAAAAACTGTATATGTATGGAAATACATTACGCCACATTTACGCGAGGAAAAATGTAACCGTGATTGCATAATGTACGTTTCCGAGACTTTTCTGACAGATTTACGATAGTGGCGAGTGCTAAACGGTGTTTTAATGAGCGGGCTGGATTGACATAATCCAGCCAGACCAAACGGAAAATCAGTTTGTGTGCGGTTTACTGAATTTTCCTGGTGTGCTATGTGCAACGGCGTTAATGCAGTCTAAACGGGAGCGCGGTACACTGAAGCGTTAAGCCGTTAAATTGTACAGTAGAGTTCGCAAATCGTCAAGATTTCAGTAGCGAAACGGAAATTTTCAGCCTTTTGGAAAAACGTGACGAAACTTAACTGTTTGTAAATTTGGGAAAATAATAACGAAACTTAGCGATTTTACCAGACCATGAAACGAAACTTAGCGATAGCGAAAAATATTTTGTTTACGAAAAAACGAAACTGAGCGAAAAATTTTAAAAGAAAAAATGCTTACTGAAACTGAGTCTAAATTTTGCTCATGTGCACTTCAAACCAGGAAAAAACTGTCGAAGCCAATAATTATTGGAAAAATTAAAAGAAAATAGCTTAATTTCGCGCGAAGCGCGAAGCGCGAAGCTGACGGACAGATTTGTTTAAAATCTGCCAGAAATTAGAAAAAAAATACGAAAAAATAGCGAAATTTTTAGCGAACGAAAGTAGCAGTAATAACTAAACGAAGCGAAAAGCTAAGTTGAAATAACGAAGCTTAACGAAGCGGTGTCTTTTGGCCCTGAAAACCTGCGCGAAGCTTGACGAACCGCTTCGTTAACTATCGTTACGCTTCGTCATTTTGACGACTTACGGACTCTATTGTACAGTATAGGGCGCTGGCCACTGCTACCGGGGTCGACGTTCAATCAATGCGCCGGTTTACCCAAAAAATTATCATGCTTTCAAGTTTCCGCCTGCGTTACAACGTCTGTCGGCATCTCTGCCTTTTACAGCAGTAAAAATTGTTGTTAACTCAAGTAAAACGCCTATTTTTGATAATGATTCTTAGCGTAAACTATTTGCATTTGTTAATTATAATTTGCTTACGACATTACTGCTGATTCTATTGTAGCACGGAAATCTATGAGGCAGGTTTTGTGATTCGTTACCCATAATTAAGCTAAAGTGCCTGGGATACCTGTACCTTATCTCAAAGCTCTGCTTACTGTACTTTGAAATCAAAGGGTCGATACAGTAATAATTATAGCACTAAAAGGTGAACGTACGCTATACGTTTTACCGATTAATGAAATATGAATTAGCCCATTTTGGGTGTTTCATGTCCACACCGTATGTGTATATTTCTAATGGCTAGATGATATAAACTTCCGGTTGGCCGGGATTTTAATTCCGCCGATCATTAGTACTAAACGATTTGTACGTTGGGAAACAGGCCACCAGAAAACAGGCAGATCATCCTTTCCGTTGAGACATCATTTGCTCTCGCAAGGTCTCTTTGGAGACATCCTGCAATCCCTTAATCAAATGCCACCTTGTTAATTACTGAATGGGAAACGTGCCTTACAGACAGTATCGCACCTAAACTATTGTGGAGATTTCGGCGCGAATGCATGTAGTAGCAGAGAAACAGCTATCGAACACATGATAAATATTCTGCTGATTATCTTAGCTGGCAAGTTTTTTTCTAAGCAGTTCTTTTTCTTAAAGCACGGATTATGAAAATAAGTGCACGGTACTCAGCGTAACTAAATTAGAGTGCCAAGAAATTATATTGCATTTCATTTTGGTTATTACTGAAGTTTTAGGGACGGACAGTACATATTTTCATATGTCGTAGGATTCGCGACTAATAGTCCCATTTAGCGCTAAGCATTAATAAAACAGTCGGTAACACTGGGGAGTCTGGCCGAATTGTCCAGATGCATTCCCGTATGCTTAAATATTCAGACAATCATTAAGGCCGGTATTATCCGAGGAAGCATCAGGGTGCGCATAAGCAATTGGCCATTTCCAGCAACGTGCACTCCTTCCGCTCGCCGTCCCCGGTCTGAACTTCCTGGCGCGCTGCACACACACACACACACACACTGGCAGTACATCCCGTGCGCGCGCGGCGTCTGCATGCCGCGAGATAAATCGGCGAATCGGAGTGTAAAACGATGAAGGGCTGACTTGATTGCCATTTGATTACCTCGCTATCCCGGGTTTATGCGGCACTTGGTGCACGATCGATGCAGTATCCCGCATTTGAATATACCGGCAACATACAGAAGTGCACAGTGGATACTGGCGGGAACTACACGCGGAGTTCCTGTAATGATTCGTGCTCAAAAAGTTTACGAAGAAAAATTTACGTTAAAAGTACCCACGGGTGTGCGCTGCTCCTTTTTACTGCCGGAAGTTTTTTGTACCTAATGTACTACGTTGAATAGCTTTTCATTTCCTTTGTATACGAACTGAGTTGCCACAATCCGAAATATTTACGGTATATTTGCATCTGTGTATGGCCAGCAACAGCCTGCTCCAGTGACCACTAAATTTCTATCGAATTCAAGAATTACACTACCATTAGGAATCAAAGGTTTCTCGTAATTTGGTGTAAAATATAATATTAACACAATCTAACAGCCAGGCAGGGCCGGTGTTGGGAATCCTTGCACGTCTCTTGTAAAATGAATAAAGATTTGCAGCAACTTTCGTTGATACCGTCATAATGTGGCTCTCGTGGCATAAGCATTTAGTTTTACTGTAAACGTTGCTGAATTCCTGTTTATATGAAGGACGAATTACACCGGAGATGCGTTGTTTAAAATCGCACACGCAACGTACGAACAAACACAAGATAGAATTTGTACGTTTCATTGGCATTTTCACTAACGTAGCGCTCTCGAATCCGCAAGATCAAAGACATTTCGAAAATAAGCATAGTGAACCAGTTAAACGTAAAGTATGTACTCGCATGTTTTAAAAAGCTTTAAAGGTTAAACAGGTGAATGATGCATTTATCAACCGGGACAAATGCGTTTTACTAGACAGAGCTCAGTCAATTTGAGAAAATTACTTTTGATGGAAGTGATAATATCATAATATTTGAATGAACCAAGGGTAATGTTACACCTCCAGGGGAAACAATTATTGTTCACTGAAGGGCCGTCCCAAGGAGTGGTGTCAACTACACCCAAATTACAATGGAAACTCAACGAAAAATGCATCTATATCTTCTACAAAGTGTACCGCTGAAACTACCGACAGATAATCTTAGTTGACTTGAGAGTTGCGCTTGATTGACTGGTTATTCTTAGGTACAGTACAGACGACT